AGTTCTCAGTGAGTTTGAGGCCAGCCTGGTCTACAAAACGAGTTCCAGGACAGCCAGGATTCTTACACAGACAAACCCTGTCTCGAAACACCCCCCCTCCCCCGGAAAAAAAGGCTGCCTGAGTTATCACTGGCAGCCACCCTCATGAGGGGCATGCTGGGAATGGATCTCTACATCTCTGTAGGAAGACAGTCCAAGACTGCACGGAACAGATGGGATGGGTCCCCACACACAGCTGTGTTCTCTACTGGGGCCTGAGGCCAGGGTATCTTCCTGACTGGACTGGGGTGGGTGGCAGGGTGTACCACCTCAGATTCTGTTCACAGTGGTAGCCAGAAGGCCAGGTCTTCTTGCCGTGATAACAGTCCATAAGGGAGACACTCTGCATAAGAGGAGCCTGGAAACAGAAGCTCATATTCTCAGGAAAACTTGTCCAGGAAAAGCAAAAGGGTTTGGGATGCAATGTGTAGGCCCAGAGGGGAAGGGGGAAGGTGGCTTAAAGAATGGCTGGCCCAGAGAGGGGCCCCATGCAACAGCTGGGTGGGGGATTGGGTGAGATTGGGGGGCGTCCCCCCACCCCGGCAGGCATCCTGAAGAGCCTTGGCATGCTGGCCCGCTGAGCCAGCACATTGCTTTGTGTACAAATCACCTCCTTCCCTCTCTCTCTTCTGTCCCCACCCCCACCTCAGTCCCTGTCTAAACTCTTCTCAAACCACCCCAGCTCTCAGGCTGTCAGGAGGAAGGGCTGAAAGAAGGCGGGAGGCACTCAGTCTTGGGTGGGAGCCAAGGTGGGTGGGTGGGAGAGGATTACCCTGGGCAGCGGTGGTGGAGGGAAGGGTACATTTGTGACCTCCTCCCCTCCCCATTGTTGGGGCCACGCCCTTTGTGCTTCTGGCAGGAGAGCCCTGCAGGGAGGGGGTCATGCTGCTGGGGACAGGATGGGTGGGAGACAGAGGTTTGGAGAACTTGAACTGGGAAGAAGGGGTGTTGGCCCTCCTCAGCATCCCAGAAGCCAAAGAATTCTGACAGCTGGGGGTAGCTGAGAGTAGAGCAGGGCCTTTGTCAGTGAAGACCTTGTGTGTATGTGGACACAGGACAATGTGTTTATGTGCATGGGCATGTGCACACACATGGATTTGCACAGCCTTGGCATGGTTGTACATGTGCACAGCTGGGTGTCCCAACAAGTTCACACCTGGGCCCACAGCTGCGAAGGAAGCAAGCAGCTCCTTGGAATATGCAATCTGGGTCCAGCTGGGAGCCCAGTTCTCTCTCCTAGCAGATGCCTGACCTGAACATCTGGCCACATCTGCCCTCAAGAAAAGAAATCTTGGAACCTGTGTCTTGACTAGAAGGGTCAGCCCTGCCTGAGCTGTGCAGGCAAACCCTTCTGAAGCCCCTGCAAGGGCACCTGTGGGCTCTCTGCTCAAAGGGAGGATCAGCTTAGCCCAGCTTGTTGAGGACTTTTCTTTCTCTTCTTCCTTCCTTCCCCCCTCTCTCTTTCTTCTCTTCTTCCTTCCTTCCTTTCTTTTTTGGTTCTTTGAGACAGGGTTTCTCTGTGTAGCTTTGGAGCCTGTCCTGGAACTAGCTCTGTAGCCCAGGCTGGCCTCGAACTCACAGAGATCCGCCTGGCTCTGCCTCCCGAGTGCTGGGATTAAAGGTGTGCACCACCACCGCCCCGCCCCGCCCGCTCATTAAGGACTTTTCTAATTTTAGTCCCAACTCCTAGGACCTCATCCCCACCACACATCCCCCAGGCCTGGGTAAACAAGGTGACTGGTCCCACTGTCTGAGCCACAGCCTCCCCCAGCTACTGGAGTCCCATCTCTCTGAACTCCGCCACACCCCTCCTCTGGAACTTGCTGCAGAGGCTCTTACTTTCCCTTCTTTGTACAGCTCCTCTTCTTCCTGGCTCTCTCACCACCCCCAGGATCCCTGCTCCCCTCTCTCTCACCTAATTCCTCTCTTTTTCCTTCATGTCTGGGGTCTCCATTTCTCCTGTTGGCCCTCAGGGATCTCCTGCCCTAAGAACTGTCCCCTGTTGGTCTGGGGTCTGCCTCTTTGCTTTGGCTTCCCTCCTGTCTCTGCTCCACATCTCCCATCTCTCCCCATCTCTTTGGCAGTGTCTCTGTCTTGCCACCATCCCTGGGTGGTCTAGCCTCCCCCTCTCTCCTTGCACTATATCCCGGGGGCTGGCTGGGGTGGAAGCCAGGTCTGGGGTCTGTGACCAGGCCAGGAAGGAGAACCGGAGCAGACATGATATTTACGTTGGGACTTCAAAGTGGAGCCCAGGCTGTGGTGGGGGTGGATGGGGCTGGCAAGCAAAAGCCAGACTGAGGTCAGTTCACGCTCCTCCCCAGTGAGGGTCTCCTTGGTGACACACACCTCCCCCGTGGGACACTAGACCCAGAGTAGGGATGGAATGGGCTATTTTGGTGCAGAGTTCCAAGAAAGGCACTTCCTGTGCCCTCACCCTACCCCCATCCATTTTTCCTGTCACCCTGCAGCTGGGTCTGGGCAGCTTGGTCCCCCCACCTCCTGTAAGCATCCCTCAGTTGGGGACACAGGGAGTTATGGGGATGGCAGGAGCAAAGGCTCAGTCTAAGCAGGAAAACATCCCAAGCACTGAGGCAGTCCATGCCTTCTCACTTCCTGGCAGAGGCTTTGCCTGGCAGGGCAGCATGGCTCTGTAACCCTGTCAGTCCCATGCATGGGACCAGACAAGTCTGGCCTTTCCCGACCTTTAGAGTCTACCAGCAGACTGCCAGCCTGAGCCTGGAGGATCCAAGATGGACTGTGAAGGTCACCTCCCCAGCTAAAGACATCCAGCTGCTAAGGCCAGGGAAGGTTTGGGGGGGCGGAAGGCGGGGGAGGGGGGGGGAGTCCCAGCCTAGAGCGCGGGGCTGACTGTCTCATCCCACAGCTCAGCTAAGGGGCCTAAGTCCCACCCAGAGGGCACCCTTCAGGAAGGGCCACCACCATGACACTTGGATCCAAAGCCCACTCAGGCCCCCAGAGCCCCTTGCTCCTGGGTTAGTTCCGGTCCCATCCTCCATCCTCCAGCTTCTCCTGTGAATCAGGCTGGAATCTGATGAGCTCAGGCTGCCCCGCCCAGCCTGCCTGCCTCAGCTCTTGCCTAGCCCTCGAGGTCACCACACCCTTGCAGGGGTCTTCTCAGCAATTCAGTCTCCTCAGGGGGCCCACAAGGGCCTGGGTGGGGGAGTGAAGCAGGGGTAGGGCCATATATTAGGGAGATTGGGGTTGGAGCTCCTGTTCAATGCTCCAAAGTATAAAAACATGTGGTGTGTGTGTGTGTGGGGGGGGGGTGTTCATTTCCAGGGTTTAGATGCATTAGGAAGCAGAAGCTGTAGTGTCTCCAGAGCATGGATGTGACTGTACTGAGTGGTGATGTGAGTGTTGTTGGCACTTTTGCATAGGTAGGCCTGTGTCGGGAAGTCTGTCCCTACAGGCCTGTGTCCACAATCCCCATGTATATCATAGTGGTATCCGGGTGTGTCTGTTACCCTTGGGGGTGCCTGGCACTGTAGTACCCACCAGGATAGCAGTATTCCTTTGCGCTGGAATGTGGGTCAGAAAGTCACTATGCTCTAAACTGTGAGTGTGCACGCTGGTCACAAGGCCACATGCTAAGGAGGGTGGGTCAGAGTGAATCTCAGTGACTGCTGCTCACTCCACCCCTCAGACATCCCGGAGGCCCTGGTCTCTGGCCCAGCTGGGCCCTAGAATCTGAACCAGGCAGCCCTTTCCTCAATCTACTCCTGACCCCTTTCCAGTGATGGCTGATGCTCACCTACCACCAGGAGGGTATTCAGTCTTTGGGGTAGCCCCTGGGGAGACGAGCACCTGGTGTGGGGCTGAAAAGGGGTAGAGAATGTGTCACCCCCAGAACAGAGAGGGCGGGTTTTGATGAAGTCTTCCCGGATCCATCGTTCTGCATCATTCCACATGTATTTTTACAAGTGCCAATTCCGGCCCAGGCATTGTTCTAGGTCCTTGAAGGCCTGCTGGGAAGAAGGCCAGCTTGGCTCTGGTGTGGTAGTGGGGAGGACAGACAGTAAACAAACTCACACATACAACTGGGGTGACTTTAAAATGACAAATGCAATGTCGCCAAGCAAGGAAATGACATGCCTGCTTTCAAGACACTGCAGCAGTGGACACGGGATGAGGCACAGCACATCAGCGCCTTGGCTTCTAGGACATGGAAGACGTAGGAATGGTAGAGTTCCCTGGAATGCAGTGGTCTATGGCTACCCCCTAGATCACAGAACTTGGTACCACAAAAATCCACACACCTTTTTTTTTTTTTTTTTTTTTGAGATGGGATTTTGCTGTGCACCCATGCTGGCTTCCAATTATGTAGCCAAGGATGACCCTGAACTCCTGATTCTCCTGTCTCAACCTCCCAAGTGCTGAGATTACAGATGTGTGCACCCATGCCTGGCTTTGTTTGTTGAGAGTATGATTAAATGATTCTTTCTCTCTGGAAGGTCCTGTTGAGTTTTCTGTCCTGTCACAAGCCACTTTCCTGAAGAAGGCCCCAGGTTCCTTGTTTATGAAATGGAGACACCAATCTCAGGCTGGCTTATTACCACCAGCTCTGCCTGGTGTGTCTTCCATTGATCCCAACCTGTGCTCATATTGATTAGGCCTTGATTGGTGGGTAATCAGATTAAAAAAGAGAAGTTCAGACAGCAAGCAGGACCCAGAAGTGGATAAGCCATAGCTGGATCTACACTGAATTCTAGGAGCCCAGAATTAGAACTGAACACAAAAAGGGCCTATGGAGGTCCCAGAGACCTGGTTCCCATGAGACCAGCTCTGTCTCCTGCCCCTGGGGTTCTCTGAGCATCCTCTGCAGACATTCCAGGTCCTTCCCCTGGGACTGAGCATCACACATCCTGTGTCTCACTCCCAGAAACAGCCTTCCTACCCCACCCCACCCCACCCCACTCTTACTGCTAGTTATCAAGCTTCAGTCAGTGGATAGCATTTATTGAGCACTGTGGAGTGCTCCATCCTGCACAAAGCATTAGGGGAAGGGAAGACTTATCATGGAATAAGGGGCCATGTTGTTCAGGACCTGAAGCCCCAGCAACCCTGTCTGTGCCTCTGGGGGGTGGAGAGAGGTGAAAGGAGCTGGGACCACCTTCCCCCTCTGCCAGATGTTAGATACCAGATGGGACTTGTCCCTTATCATACACACTTTCCCTACCGGGGAGGGGCATGGAAGTGGGAAAAACAGTGGTGGCCTAGTGACTAGTTTGGAGCCCTACACTGGCTAGATGTGGATCTGAAAGCCAGGGTCCACAACTTCTACCTCCCTGTTGTTCTGTCTATGACACGAGTTGGTGTCCTGTGCTCAGAGGCCCTGGAGAGCACCTCACACTGGCCGTGGTAGTCTGGAAACGATTCTTTCCTAAGAATCTCCGACTGCACGTGGTCTCTGCCCTGCATTTCCCAGGCTGTCAATAGCTGTAAGACTGTAAGGCCAGTGACTGCCTACATTCTGTGGCTCTTAAATTCTTTCTCCTCACCCCTCCCACCCCCTGGAGGGGGTTTCACCCTCTGCAGTTTCTTAGACTGTTTGGGCCCTCTTGTGGCTATTCATGGGCATTTTCCTCTGCTCAGATTTGCAGCCGGCTTCCCCCTGGGTCCAGCAGCTCTGGCCTTGAGGGCTAGTTTGCTAGGACCTCTTGGGAATTACTTGCAGTGGGGTCCACAAGCTATATGCCGTGCCTTATTGTCAAGCTTTTGTAAGGGCCCCAAAAGAGGAGTACAATGCTTGTGGAACCCCTCTCTCTGTTCTGGAAACTTCCTGTTAGCAGGCATTACTTCCCAGGGTCCAATTCCCCAGAAATACTGAGGTGCCTTGGTAGCTTTCTGGTCTTGAAAAAAGGCTGGAACATAGGTGCTTTCTCTCTTGTGACCTGACCTCCAGGGCAATAACCATCTCTGGACTGACTGAGGAAGAAGACACAGATTCCACCTGCCTGGTGGCTGCTCACACCCTTCCTTTCCTCCCTTCGCCTGCCCAGTCTCGGCCACCAGCCATCCTGGTTGGGGCCTGGATCGCTCTGGAGCCCTGCACAACAGAACTCACATCCCCTCTTTGCAGAGCCATGTGTTTGGGGACCTTTGGGGACCTTTGCTGTCACCCTGCCGTCTCCCTGACCCCTGGAACCAGAGAGATTGGAGCTGTTCAGGCAACCCTGTCTATGCCCATGGGCAGCAGGAGAGGCAAAAGAAGCCAGGACCCCCCGTCCCGCTATGCTGGAGTTGGCTATTAGATGGATCTGTCCCTTACTAGACACATTTATCCCTCTGGGCTAGGGAGGAACAGAGGCCACGGGCTTTGGACACAGGGCCTTGGAGTCTCCCAACTCTCTCAACTTTGCCCTAGTCTATGTGGCCAGCCCCCTGTTCTCTAGCAGATGGACTCATGAAGACCAGTCAGAGGTGGTGGCAGACACAACAGAGAACTGGGTGTGGGTGGTGAAGGAAGCTGGCAGCTGGGAAGAGCCGATTGAGAGGCTCCTGGAGGCCCAGACAACCCTCTCGGCTCTTTCTGGCTACTCTTCTGCAGCCTGGCTTCCCTCTACCCTTTGCTCCACTGGCTGCACATGACCTCCTCTGGCCTGATCCTCACCTCCTTGGTTAACAGCTGTCTCAGACTCCCCCTCACTGTTCAGGCCCCCCCTCTCCCCCTCCCATGCTCCTTCCTCTGGCCTCTCACTGCCTGCCTTTGCCTTCTCTGTTGCAGCCCTCTGGGTCTCAGGTCTCTCTGCCCGGCGGTAGACAAGGTAGCCAGTTGCGGGAAGCCTATGGGCCAGGGTTTCAGGAGGCAGGCGATGGTAGCCTTGGTCCTTGTAGAGGAAGAGGCCAAATGCATCAGGATGGGTCACTCGGAACTTGGTAGCACAGAGTTGGCTCAGGGAGGCAATCGAAGACCCCGGGGGCACAGCCAGGGTCTTGGAGGTGCAACCTGTGCTGGGGTCCTGGTAGGCTACTCGGAGGAGATGCTGTGCAGAAGACAAGAACAAGTCTTCAGCTATGCTGGGTGGTCACCTCCAAAGCCGAAGGGACAGGCTGAAGCTGTGCAAGGACAGGGTGGAGTGGTACACACCCATGCTAGAATGAACTGACAGAACCCTTGTGAGCCCCGAGGGGATACTGGGGCAGAGAGAACTGTGTTTGTCATGGTGGTAGAGGTGCAAGGCCAGCCAAGAGGGAACTTCAGAACCCTGAAAAGATGCCCAAGAGGAGTCCACAGTGTGCAGGGCTCTCTCCCTAACTGTTCCTGGGGCAAATTGCCTAGAACTACCCTCAACGTTCCAGTGTGCCTAATCTTCATGGCAGCCAGGTGCCCATTTTAGAGACTAGAAAACCAAGGCACAGGAAAAAAGTGATAGAGCTGGGACAAATCTGGGGCCTGGCTACAAAGTCTGGATTCATAGCCAGACTGAGAAGGTTGACGTTGAAGGCGGGGCACCCTGGCCAGGCCCGAATGGGAGCACAGATTGAAGCTGGAGGACAAGGAAGGTAGAGCCTCGGTCAGTATTAGGGGCCAGGAAGTTGCTGTCACGCCCTATGTCAGTTTCTACCTCCTCATTTGTAACATGGGGAAAACAACGGCCCTACTTCAGAGTTTCCCTGAAGATTCAGAGAGGCTGCCGTGGAGCTCACAGCCCAGTGCCTGTCCCACGGAACACATTTCCTAGAAGGGTTATTCTGATACTCAGATGGGCCTCTATTTCTATTGTAGGGTGATGCAGGGCTAGAGGAACTGGGCTGGGTGATGTCAGAGTCCCTCGGAGCAAAGGCCAGTTTGGGGCAGACATGTGGAAAGGGTCCTTTACCTGGAGGCTGTGGGTGGCCGGCAGGCGGCGCTGTTCCCAGAGGGCCAGAGAGCGCTGGAGCTCCTGTGCCGGGCTGAGAGGGAGAGCGTGGGCCTGGCTCAGGCCACCCAGCAAGGCCAGGCTGGCTGAGAGGCTGGTCAGGTAGTAACCACCTAGGACACAGGGTACAGAGAATGCAGCTCAGGCTGGGGTAGGGCGTCCTGCTTTCCTTCCTCCCTTCCTCAGCTAAGAAGCCCCAGTTCCACCCAGACAGGAAGTAAGGGGACCCTCACCCTCTCCGGTGAGCAGGGTAGGCTCCAGCAGCTCCGACATGTACTCAGCTTCTAACAGGAGGTCAGGAAGGTCGCACTGGGCCAAGACAAGGCTCAGCAGAGGCAGAAACTCATCCGCGCCAGCTTTCTCCCCTGTGGAGGGGTGGGAAGAAGGGCGTCCCAGCCTCTGCAGAGGCCCAAGGGTCCAGTCCCATCCTAGTCAGTGACCCCTCCCCCCCCCACCTGCTAGACTCCTAGATGGGACGGGACTGTCAGGAGCCACAGGGAAGGCTACAGGGAGGGAAGACACTCTCTTCTCTAGAGCTGCTGAGACAGAGGGCTGGGTCCTTCGGCCCTGTTTGCAGTTCTGGGGTCCTGGGACCTTCTCCCTCTACTCAGAACGAGGCGAAGCGGGGAACGGGGTGAGGGTCATACCCGCCTGGGTTTTCAGGGCCGTGTAGAGCAACTTGCAGGCCTGCAAGAGCCACTTGATCTGGGCGACGGGCGAATAGGTGCCAAGCAGCTGAAGCAGTCTCTGGCGCACCTGCTCTGTCTCCACTGGGGAGGAGAGGCGCAGGTGGGACCCCAAGGCTCCAGGGCCCTGGGTCCGGGCCAGGTGGAAGCCCTCAGCTAGGCGGCCGAGGGAACCATCTGTGGAAAGCCGGCGCCGCAGGCGGGCAGCTAGGATAGGTCGAAGAGGCTTGAGGACAGAGCGGTGTAGGGACTTCTCCAGGACCAACTCTGCCAGGGGAGAGCAGACACGGTCAGGAGACGGGGGCTGGACGAGCAGAAGCCCCGGTTAAGGAGGTAGGGAGGGGGCGGTGGTGAGAGGACAAGCGAGGCGCAGGGCAAGCAGCACCTCATCATTAGGCAAGGAGAGAGGTGGATGAGAGAGGATGGAGAGCCAGAGACTGAACCCGTGGAGGCCAGGGCCTTACCCAGCCTCTCCGGTGAGAGCAGCTTCTCGGGGCCCAGCTCTGCACTCAGCATGGCCCGGGCCCGGCTTAAGGCCTGCCGGATGTACTGCAACTCCCGGGGCTCGGGACCAGCCCGAACCTGGGTCAGCAGGTCCTGCACTAGCTGACCCACAGCTGTGTACCGGTTTTGCATTAGCATTGTGGCTGCCCGGCCAACCTGCCTCTCCGGTGCCAGCAGAGAGCAGAAAGCGGAACTCATGGACCGAAGCAGAGGCCGCCGCTGCCTTGGGCGGCCCAGGAATGGGGAGGTTGTGGGGCTTCCTGCAGAATCTTCCTCCTCTGAGCTACTGGGGGAGCAGCAGTCCACCTCCTGAAGTGAAGGCAGGGGAGGAAGGCTAGGGCCGGAAGCACTCCCTGGCACACGATACCCCACTGAGCTCTCCCTCTGCAGCAGCTGTCCAGGGGGCTGTCTTTCTGCTGGGCTGGAAGACGTCCCTGGCAGTACTGGAACTGGAGGAGGCGGCACAGCAGGTGGAGACAGAGGACTGGAGGTCTCTGTGGACACACGCACTTTAAAACTCCTCTTGAATTTCTCCCGTTTGGTGGGGCCCAGATCCCCTGGGAAGAGGGGGTTGAAGAAGCAGAGGGCTGCACCGGTGCCCTGATCCAGTTCTTGAGGGGAGCGAGCCTTCAGCCTGGGTATCGATGGGGCTTCAGAAGGCCCCTGCTGAGCCTTGGTGTTGAGGGAGGAGCTCCAGAACTCTAGCAATCAGAAACCAACGGGGGCCTCAGAGCTGGTTCAGGAGGGTGCCGGGCTGCCCTTTCTTCCCCCTTGACCTCTATGAGTTCATCTGTGCAATGGGCTGCAGGGAACCCTTACCCATGCCCAGATGGGAGATGGCCTCCAGCTCCTTGTGGCTGGCTGCCTGATGAATGGATCTGGGGAGCCGGAGCGGCAGGAGAAGAATGTCCCTAAGGTCAGAACAAGGAGCCGTCAGGAGCAAGCGGTGTTCCCGCGCAGGGGTGGGCGGCACCAGGGAGCAGGCCCTGTGGTCACCAGGTGCCTGGCAGGCAGACTCACCTGGTGTGGCAGTATGCACAGATGAGCTGGACCAGGTCCTGGAACATGAGCTCTGAACCCTCCAAAGAGACGCCTGAGAGACATTGGGAGTTGAGGCTGTTCTCTGGGGACCTCCCTCCCCCTCCTGTCTCCAGCCCCTTCCCGCCAGGCCAGCCCCCTCACCGCCAGGGCTCTCTTGGATATAGTGGCTGGAGACAAAGGAAGGGCCACTGGCTTCTGGCAGCCGCACACACAGAGCTTGGCACTGGCGAGTGTTAGATTTCCGTACCAGGAAGGTCTGCAAGAGAGCAAGACTAGGAGGCTCAGTGCTCCCATGTCCAGGCCCTTTCTCTCCCACCCTCGGCCGGCCAGTCCTGGAGGACGGGCAAAACTTACCCCTGGAGGCTCTGTCCTCAGCACGTGCAGTGCGGCCGCAGCGTTGGCCCGCAACTGGAACCACACGGGCCGGGTGATCAGCAGCCGCTCCCGCAGGCTCACAGCGCGAGCTGGTTGTTGGGACCCACTTGCCTGGGCCCCGCGGGCATCAGGTGTGTCATACAGCGGGTCTGGAGATGGCCTGGGGGCAGACACCCGGACCTGAGCAGGGGTCTGGGGTGAGCACTGCTCCCCCCCCCCGCCCCCGTTCTGGGCTCCCCCCGCCCCATCCCGTCACTGCCCTCTGCCCCCTGTGCCCGGCTGCCCTCCCAACTTCACTAACTTTTCTTTCTGTTGGTGCCCAGGAACAAAGTTGAGGTTGGTAGCTCCCAGAGGGTGTGCTCCTGTCTCCCCAGGGTCCTCCATGGCTGGGAGCTCCTTCAGCTTCTCCTGGGACTCAGGAAGAGAATCCAACCCCCAAGGCACAGGCGTGCACATTCCTGGCGGTGAGTAACGCTTCCTGAAGGCGGTTCACCCTGTCACACCCCGCCAGTTAACTCTTGTATGTCCATTCCATGTGGCCAGTGTCCACCTCTTCTGTTCCGGGTCCAGCCTTGAATGGCAGGGTCCCCCCTCCATGTTAAGGTCACTATTGGGGTTCCAGCTGTGGGAGGAGCACCTCCATACAGTGCTTCCGACAGCCTCCTCACACTATGCAGCTGGGTAGGGAGGAGTTACACAGGGCAGACCAAGTGCCCATAGGCCCAAGCCTCACCCCTGGGTCACCTTAAGAAGTCTGCGGTCACTTGCTCATCTGCTCCTGCCTGTGGAGGGGGCCAGCCTTGTGGGAGAGCACCCCCTACTGGTCACAGATGACTCATTCCTGAACCTAACTTGGGTTTTGTAATTTCAGGTTGCTATGGAGAAAGGATGCTGTGTCTCCATGGAAACTAAACCTTTTGCTTAACTGAGGTTCTGGGGGTGGTTCTGACACTCACTGCTAACCAGGGGGGAGTGTGGCTGAGGTCGTCGGCACATGGTGCTGCTGCTAGCTGCCTCCCACACACAGGCCCTGCTAGCCTGCCTTGCTAATCTGCCAAGTGCCTGGGGCAGGTGCAGACATGACCCGCCTCGACACACGTGCAACAGCTCCTTCGCCACTCAAGGCCATGTGCTTCACCTGTTTGCTTGTGCCACGTGTAGCTTCCAGCTCTGAGCCCAGATCTTTTCTAAGTCACAATGTCCCAAACTACAAGGACCCCAGAGGAGCCTGTCTCAGGTGTTTCCCATAAATGCCTCGATTCCCTTGTAAGATAACAGCAGACACACATCGGTCATGTCAAGGTATCAGGATGAGTTTTATTCCAGTCTTTGGAATCTTGGAGGCAGACACCAGGAATGGCCCTGAGAAAGACTGGGAGGCTGCATCTCCAGCAGCAGCTAGGATGGGCAAGACTCCGATAGAATTTTTTTTTTTTTTTTTTTTTTTTTTTGGTTTTTCGAGACAGGGTTTCTCTGTGTAGCTTTGCGCCTTTTCCTGGAACTCACTTGGTAGCCCAGGCTGGCCTCGAACTCACAGAGATCCGCCTGGCTCTGCCTCCCGAGTGCTGGGATTAAAGGCGTGCGCCACCACCGCCCGGCTTTTTTTTTTTTTTTTAGGAGTTCCTCCTGCAGTGGGGCCCAGCTCCTGGCTTAGTGGCTGGGGGTAGGGTTGAAAGTCAGGAGGGTTGCTGCTTTGGATGAAGCCCATCTTCTTTGTTGGGGGACACTGAGGAGGGGGAGGTGGTGGGCTGGTCAGGGATTGGAGATAACAGTCTTGCTTGGCCAGGTCAGCTTCAGGGCCACAGCTATGGCGATCCCAAGGACAGCAGAAGAGTCCAGGCCAGTGTTGGCAGAGGGTCAGAGGACAGCAGTAACACTGGAGAGCTACTGGGCAACCCCTGCCTTTGCAGAAAATGTCAGTCCCGTGTGTGGTACCAGCTGCTCCAAAGACCCTCTGAGTGTAAACACAGGGTCAGGGGCCTATGGGGCACATGGGAAAAATCACTGAAAGGAAGTTGACCAAGTTGATAACCACTTCCTGAGAGCACCGAGGGAAGCGCCGTTCTCCCCTCACTCACAGGGTTTCTTCTTCCTGCCCTCTGGCCCACCTTGCTGCGGGAGGGCTCCACTTCTTCTTTATCTTTTGTGGTGCTTAGCTTGGGACCAGGGTCTTGCCCATGCTGGGCAAGCACTCTACCACTGGCTCCTCCATTCCACCTTGACATGCCCTTGCTCCATCAGCTAAGAGCTTCCCCAACCTGGTTCCTATTCCCCAAACTCCCACAAAACCCTCCAAGTGAGATCAAACTACAGATTCTGAGGGGGCCACCTCCCTGGTTCTTACCATCTGCTTTTCTCTTCTGAGGGGACACTGCTGCCCTGGCCTGGGTGGGGAGAACAAAGGGACTCTTAGAGTCAGCTTTAACTTGCTGACAAGCTCCCCCCCCCCCCCCCACACACACACACAGCCCAGGGTAAAGCTGCTGAGTCAAGTCGCATGAACTATAAGAACTTTCTACATCAAGCTCCCTCTTCGCAGGGACCAGTCAAGCAGCCTTCCCTCTCCTTCCCTCAAACCTGCCTGGAACAAGGGCTAAGGAGAAGACTTCCTTTCCTCAGGTCAGTCTTTAGGCAGGAGGACTACAAGCTGACACAAAGTTGGAGCACCAGGGCTGAGGCAGATGTTGCTGACGGGCAAGCAGCAAACTGCCTGGTTACCTCAGATACCAGAGCTGGCACACGTGTGTGTGTGTGTGTGTGTGTGTGTGTGTGTGTGTGTGTGTGTGTGTGTGGCCCAGCAGGATGGGGAAATGGGCAGCACTGGACCTACCTTTTTGATAGCCGTCCAGTCTTCCAGGATGTCGATCTCCTGCAGCATGTAGACAATGTATGGGCCTGCACAGGGGTTAAGGAAGCAGGACAACAGGAGCCACACAACAAGGCTCCACAGGAGGACACGGGAGGTACTGCCACTCACCCACCACTTAGCAAAGGTGGCACATGGACAGTGTGGCGGGGTGCTAAGAGCCTTTTTGTTTTTTTGAGACATGGTCTCTCTATGTAGCCCTGGCTGCCTGGAACTCACAGAGATCCACCTGTCTCTGCCTCCTGAGTGCCTTAAGAACCTAGTTCCTGGTGAGTGTGGGGGCTGTGTTGGACATGACGTTACCCATTTCCCTCACTCACTCTCACGCTTTTTCCAGGTCCGCTGGCCAAGGCCCATCCCATCCTGAGGGTCCTGCTCCTCCTGTTTTGTCTGGCTCTGTCAGGAACTGGCTCACTGGACCCTTCCTCACCTAAAGGTGGATCCTGGCCTCTTCCCTCCTGATAGCACTGTGCTCTGTATCTGAAATCTACCTTTACCCACAGTGGTTCAATAAAGTCTCCATCCCACCTCCATCCTGAGGTGGTCCCAGGGCTGACACCATGGATGTGGAAGACCTCAGCTAAGTGTTATGTTCTGCAGCACAGGAGGGTCAAAGACCGTTCCTGGGGTGCCCAATACAGAAGAGAACACATGCATGGGGCTTGGGGGGACACAGAGATCAGGAGAGACTTCACAGGAGATGGCATCTCACATAACACCACCTCCAAGACAAGCAATAGCTCCAGGAGGGATGAGCAAGGCTTGAGACAGCATGCGGCCTACACCAGGACATTGAGGGAAAGCAAAAGGGCTTCAAAGGTTGCTCCTTACTCAGGAAATTACTAGGAGTCAGTGAGCTGAGTTTTCTGTTTCTTTGGGGTCCACTGAGCTCAGGAGGACCTGGGACATAGAAGAAAATCCTGACAGCTGGACATTTCATGTGACACCAAATGACCATAAATGATTCTAGTCTGACTCTGTCCCACACAATCCCTCTAACTTCCCGGAGTCCATGGCCTGCCTTGGCCTGCCCAGTTTCAGGCGACCTTGAGCGGAAGGATACCAGAAACGAGAGGTGCCTTCTTCCTCTTGCTGGGTGGCAGTGAGTCCCAGGTCTTCGAGCTGCCTCTGGGATGCAGTTTGTCATCCCACCACTCTGCCCAGAGACCAGAGTCAGGGTCAGGACAGTTGCCCACAGCTAACTCCCACCATCCCTGTGGCTTCACCATGGACCAGCCTGGCCTCCTCTCCCTTCTCCATCACCCCCAGGGCAGTGGCCCCAACCTTGGGCTTGAGGCTGGCAGCCTCTTGGGATCGATCACTCGGGTTCTGACTGCACACTGCTGCAAGCCTGGCAAGATGACTCTGCCCTTCCTGGTGAAGTCTCAATTTTTCTGTTTGCTTAGCAGACAGGGGATGAAGGTAATTCCTGGACCCCACGTGAACACAGATGCCACCATCATGGAGAGGACTATTGTTTTTTTTTTTATATGCATCCATGTGTCAGCTGGATATGCCCCATTCTGAATGGGGGCAGGCAGGGGACCCACTCTGCCTGAGTCCCCACTATATGTGAAATACTGAGCTAGACCCTTTCCTGAAGTCTCATTCAGTCCTCACAGGGACCCCAAGAAGGCTGTTTGACTCCCTTTATGCAGCCTGGGAAGTTGAGCTGCAGACGGGGGAGGGGAGCATCGCAGGACTGGGCCCTCGCCTCACCAGAGCTGATGTCCAGGCTCTGGCGGTCCTCCTCCAGCCTCTGGATCCGCTCCTGCAGCTCCCCAAGGAGCGTGTCATACAGCAGCAGCTTCTCACTCTGGGAGGAAGGGACAGCCACTCAGCCAGGGCACTGCTGTGCCTCAGTCTCCCTCCCAGAGGCCCACTTGCCGGCTCACCTCTAGGTGCTGTTTGGCTCCCTGAAGTTCACACTCATATTTATTCCTGATCACATCCAGACAGAAGCCCTTGTAGATTCCTGCAAAGGGAGAGAAGAGATCTGCTTGGCTGGGGGCCCTAATGTCCCCCAAAAGGAGATCCACAGGAACAGGGAGAGGCAGGGCAGGGACAGAAGTGGAAGGGGACGGAAAGCTGGTTCTGGGAGAACAGGGCAGCTACACACCTGCCACCTGAATGCGGATCTTTAGACTCTGTTGCAGCCCTCCAAGAGGCTCTGTATACTCGGGGGCTCTCTCGGCCCCCACTTCCTCCAGTCGTAAGCGCAGCTGGCTCAGCCGTTCCCTGAACAACCTGAAGGCAAGAAGGCAGCTGCGTACCGTTGGCTTCTTCAGTGATGCCTGCCAAATACCGGTCCCCTTAAGCCCCTCTTGCTGCACATCACCATGGGCACCTGTACCCCAGTTGCCCAAAGGCCTGCCCCAAGACTCCCAAGCTCACTTCTCTTTCAGCTCTGAGAACTGCTTTTCCAGGTCCAGCATCTCGCTGACACACTCGCTGCGACGCCGCTCATAGTCCTCGTCATCCATCTCTGAGGGAGAGGCCAGTGAGTGCTGGCTCTGCGGGAGCAGGCAGCTTCGTGTGCGGTGTGTGTGTGTGTGTGCGTGTGTGTGTGTGTGTGCGTGTGTGTGAGACACCCATGCAGGGGCTCACCTGAGCTCTCCTCCTCTGACTCAGTCTGGCTGCCGCTCCGCTCCTCCTCGCTCTCATCCGCCTCCCCGTTCATCTCAGCTGCTGAGTCGCCTTCTGCCTCCATCTCTTCTGTTTCTTTGCCTGGAGGCTGGATGGGCATCTGGGCTCGGGGAGAGGGAGGATGGGCCGTCACTCACCCCGTCCACATCAGAGCAGCCGAACAGGGAGGTGACCAAACAGAAGCCTCGAGTGAACCAAGGGGAAGTGACTGTTGGCACCACACTGAACATGTACTTGGTGGAATTTGCTCCTGACAGAATCCTGGGGTACACAGGAATGAGCAACAATGGGAAAGGTTTCCCACTGCTGATGGGACTGGACCCAAGCTCCTGACTGGGCCCTAGAAGACCCTTCATGGACTGCACTTGAACTGTAAGTCCATCTCCTTCACCTCACGGAATGGCCAGTTCTCACACTCCTACCCCATATCTTTGCCCATGTAAGCGCTCTGCCTACAACGTCCTCAGCTTTTCTTCCCGGTACTGTCCCACAACTCTGTAGTCTTTCCTGTGTTCCAGATCAAATCCTATCACCTGCTTCTTCCACCCTCAGTGTCTCCCTCTCCCTGCCTACCTTCGGCTCCTCCGTTCTGGCCCATATTACATTGCTTACTCTGCAATGTAACGGTGTTTAGAGACAAGACTGTCAGGGTTTTCTTTT